GCTTGGAATGATTTGTCAGAAAAGGAGAAGAAACCATACATCTCTCTAGCTGAGAACGCGAATAAGTCAACTATTTCAAAGAAAAAAGGGGTAAGCAAAATTCCATATCATAAGAAACATGTTATAATAGGATGTTAACACTGTGACTTAATTAGTCCTCAAAGGTAAAATACAAGTCACCTGAGTACGTCTCTAGTGACGAAGAGGAAGAAGAAAGACCTGCCAAAAAAGCACGAGTCGTCAAAGGGAATAGTGAAAAGACAGAACAGAAGAAAAAACGGGTATGCAATGAATAACAGTAATAATTTTCGCTCAGTTTAAAGACTCAACAAATTCTGAATTATATATAGTCAAAGAGAGAAATAAAGTCACCAGAGATCGTAGAAAGTGACGTCGAAATGGAAGACAGTGAAAAATCCGATGAAGAAAAGTCAGATGCTGATGACAAATTAGGGAATGATAATTTGGATTCAAAAAATCAGGATTCGGAGTCAGAAGATTTGACTGATGCATTAGATGAAACCGATAGCGAAAATGAAGATGAATCACCTGCAGTTCCACGCAAAAAAATCAAGAAAGGAGATGACGACGAATAATAATTATACCAGTTAGACACCTGACATACTTTGTCACGCTCATTATGATGTCTCTCTTTTTATTGAATGTAAATGAATTTAATAAATAATGAATTATCATCGAGAAGAAAGAGCGATGCACTTTATTGTTATTGCAATTAGAATTTTTGCTTTTTTACTGTTTAGATACATTCATCTATTCGAATTCATTAATTAATCAATTACCATGAAGTTTTTCAAACAATTTTTTGGTTTGTCCAAATACAAAAAATGTAACGGCACTAACAGGCGCACTTTTTATAAGTGCAGGAGTTAGTCCTTTATAAAGTCCAAAAAATCCGTCTTGTATAAATATCTGTTTTATACAAGAATAAATGGAACTAGTGTAAATGGGTACATTTTGTATAATGTAATTTTGCCGATCGGGACCTTGTACCTGAAGTCGTTTTCGTAATAAATCAAGTGGAAACACGCCTGTTTTACTGATTACTCCAGCTATTGCGCCGCATAACAAATCTTCTGATCCTTTCAAATTACTGCCCCATAAATTTTTTTCCTGGTGATTGAACAAGGGTATAAAATAGATAATTTCCAAGCGAAGAAATTTGTTAGGAACAAACTTTACCTCGAGACGTCGGAATGATTTCTTAAAAATTTCGTAACTTCCAAACATTAAACTCATATACGGAATGATCTGTAACACGGATGCCGAAATTCCTCTGTAAAAACCATAAGTTCCTTCTTTAGAATAGATCTGCCGTATGGCATGGGACATTCCCTTATATACCTGAATTTAATTATTCAATGAATTACGAAATGTTCTGCATAAAACAGAGAATCAAATTTAAATTGCATTTCGTTCGTTTTACCTTAACGTTTCCTTGCGCCGCAAATCTCGTCCGTAGTAAGTCGAATGGGTACGTAGCGACAGTTGCCGTCGTTCCGCAAACAGCACCACTCAAAAATGGTTGAAGAGTTTTATCAATAATTGGTTTTCCATGCTTTTTTTCGATAAATGTGAATAAAGTTTGCATTTGTTGATATGTCAAAAACTGAACGGCACTATAGGATAGGTAAAGATATTCTGCTGATAGATTACCCTTCCATAAACCCTGCCAACATTTTTTCAAAAAAATTAGTCTTAAAATTTGCTACTTCATAACACTTATTTTGTATGATTCACGTAAATTGAGAAAGAAACATTACCCGAACACCTTCCTCCCGAACGATCAATTTCAATGCATGCCATGCTCCGTTATATTTTCTATCAGAATTTAAGGATTTTTGTCCAGAGAATAATTCAAACGTTGATCGCCCTGACTGGAGCTTTCAATTTTAAACATGTCAGTAATAGATACGTTAGATAAGTTGTTTATAAGCCGAACTTACTTGAAGACGTATTTTTATAACATCTAGAGGCGATGCTACAAATCTTTTTCATATGAATTTTTTATAATGACTTCATAATAAAGATCAGCATACCCATGGAATGTAGGGTTCGTACCTGGAGACAGCTCCCGCGGCGGCTCCACATAAAGCTACTTCTATTGATGATAATTTTGTCGAAGCTACGGCTTGACCTTCTATTGATGTATTATTATTGCGTTCCTGGTAATGATTCATCTAAAATTTTAGCAAACAACTTGAAATATCTTCGGAAATTATTATTATTCAATTGACGATCGATTGATAACGTGACCTAGAAATCAAAACATATATAATACTCCATTAATCACGCGTCGAAAAGAAAAAAAAAATGACTTCTCAGGCTTTAACGTCACCAACTCTCCAGGATCAAGAATTCCCCGATAATTCAATTCTTAATGATTCCGTGCTCTGGTTTGGAGATCATGAAGTTTCAACAACCCCAAGGCCTTTCAACATAGACGGAGAACATAGTCAGCAAATTTGCAATGAATTTGATTCGATATTATGCAGTCCTGGTTCGTGCTTTGAAAGTATATTACCAGATAATCTTACCCAAGATAATAACAGTGTCTATGAAAGTGCACTGAGGAAGGAACTTGAAACTTTGAGGAAGACAAATGAGACATTTAGCAAGATCAATAACAATATGGATCAAGCGAACGAGAATTTGCAAGTAAGGGTTAAAAATTCTTTGTTATTTAGGGGCGTGTTTTTAGGTATAATAAACTACTGTAATTTCGTTGATTATGGTCAGTACAAACTATTTGTTAGTTTAATGTATTTTACGCGTTAACAGCGCGTAAAATCTATCGATGTAGAATATTTGTATTTTAATGAGATTTCATACAGTTTTTTGTTTACCGTGCTATTACAAAAAGCAATTTTCAAATACTGTTGACCAAACCGATCAACTACTGGACATATGGATAAACATATTGTCGCAAAGTATAAGCACACAACAAATACTTTCAGATCCGTTATGGCAGGGCTCCACTGCGGTTTGTACCCCACGCGACTCGATTAATAATTACGCAGCAAGTAGTAACGAGTTTCGTGTTACATTTTAACAAATAATAATAAAGGAAAAAATACATATACTAGAACAAGTAAGAGAAAGGGAAAGATTGGAACAATTAGCAAGGTTACAGCAAGAACAATTGGAAAGAGAACGATTAGAGCGCGAAAGGATAGAATCCAAAAAAAAAGAGATCGAAGCTCGAGAAGTTTCTTCAGAGCTACCCAGAAAAGGTAATTATATCTTCTCCACAAGATGAATACGCACAACTCGAATTTCGACTAACTGTTAACTTGAATCAGGCGGAATGACATTGATGAAAGGAAAGAAAAGTAAATCATTCAATAATTAGTTCTTTCATTCTTTATCGAGTTTACAGTAACAAGTACTAATTTGTTTGAATCAAAAACTTATTTTTTTTTTTTTCCATTGGTATAATGCTAAAAGAAAAAAATTATTTGTAATATACACAATCTTAATTAATAAAAGCTTTACACTAAAATTTTAAATTTATATTAAAAATTAAATAATTTTAATGTACAATATTCATATCATTTTGTTAAATTTCAGAAATATGAAATAATCACTTAATTTTTATTTTTGAAAGGACAACCAAATAAATGTTTAACACATTATAAATTTAATATATTATGTAATTATTTAAATATATATATTACTTTAACTATTTTATTTTATTCGTTATTAAATAAGTATATGTATATGATCTATTAAAAAATATAAAACAAACTTAATTTGGTTTTAAAAATTATTGTTTATCAATATTTTTTAATTAATTAAAATTAAATATCATATACAGTATACAATATATTGTATATATGCATATTAATAATTTTAAAAAAGATTTTTTTTTTTTTATAAAATATTAAGTGTCTGTTTTGTCTAAAATGTTTTGTTACTGGTTTAAATTATATCACTTGATTATTGAATTATAGTCAATTTAATACAAATTTATTAACAAATATATATATTCAAGTTTAACATTTAATTTACTTGGCATTAAAAAAGAGTATAAGAATTTGATAATAATATAATAATATTTAAAATTATTTGATATTATATATTTCAGCAGAATTATATTTTATAAAAATCTAATTTATTATTATTTTTATAATAATATTCTATAAATTGTAATTAATACTTGATAAATTTATTCTTATATTTTTTTTAAATTGTTGTTTTCATTATCTTAAATTTTTTTTTTTCAAATAAAATATACTTTGTGTATATGCTTTTTATTGAGTTATTTATATCCAATTACATATACATTAAGATTCATTTAAGTTAACCTCACTCTACACCTATAGATTTATCTAATGTGCCAATTGAATACCATAAAGATGGATCTACACTTTGGAAGAGATCTTTAGAAAATAGAAATTCTATTACTAGTTTAAACTATTTAACCTAATATAGATTCTGTTTTGACTGCATTTGTTATAAAAAAGGCATTAATTATTATCTTTTAGGAATTTTTAATAGAACACCTAGATATCCCATATATATTTTTTCACCTAAAATCTTAAAGAAGGTAAATCACTTTTTATTATTACTTGCAATTTTCAGTTATATCAAATATATATTTAAGATATATCTTTCTTTTAAATAAGCATTGGATTGAAATAGCTTTAAGCTAGAGTATTCTTATATAATAGAGTCTGCTGTTACCAATTTGGGTTAGAGTTTTATAGACTTATTATTAAAGTTAAATCAAAAGTCTTTTCTTATGCAACTTTCCTTTAAGTTTTATTTATTTATATATTTTTCTAATTTAATATTTCTTTTTTTTTTTTAATATATAAATGATTTTTTACAATCAATAATTTTTTATTTAATAATAATTTATTAATTTTATACATACTTTTTTATTTTATTTTATTTATTATTTATTCTTAAATTTATAAGTTTAACTTAATAAATTTTTAATAGTATTATATTATAATAAAAAATTTATTATAATTTTGTTTACAAGTTATTTGAAATAATTAAATTAATTTTGAATATTTATTTAAATTTTTAAAAAATATATTTTATTTTACTTTTATTTTTTTAAAGCAAAGTGCATTACATATAAACTTTTATTAATAAGTTAAAAATTCATATATTAACTTTTATTAATATTAATATAACATTAGGAAATTTTTGGACAAAGATTTTTGAAGATTTTCAAGCATAGATCTCTGGAGATTCTCCATCATTATTAAAAGACTCTAGAGTGAAAATTGGTATATTTAACTCTGGTGATCTTTAATTTAATTTAATAATAATAAACTATATTTACATTTATGTATTATCATTTAATAATATTCAATTTAAAATATTTATTGGCTTATAAAATTATTTTTATTATTACATAATTCTTGTTTACATTTATTTATTTATTTAAATCTTCACTTATTGTCAAAATCCTTCTTTCTAATTCTCTATTTTCCAGTAGTTGTTCTAAATTATTTTCAATATTTTCATAGTCCTCCAAATTATCTTCTATAGTAATAATTTGTGAATTAGTCATTTCTTCATCTTTGCTACTTGAATTTTCTTTTTCAAATTCAAATTCTTTTTTAATTTTCTCCTAAAAATATTATTAGCAATAATTTATAATATTTCGAAGATTTTTAAAACTCACCTTATTTTTTTTCATCTTGATTTTTATTAACATTTCATTTATCAAAATATTTTTGTTATTTAAATCAAGAACTGTTTAACATACTGTAATAGCGAATGCCACTTGTTCATCAGAGGCATCTCCCTTTGGCCAGACTTTTTTGAGAATATAAGCCATCATTCTTTGTATTTCTTCTCTTGGACAGTTATAAAGATTTTCAAAGCTTTCAATAGTTTTTCAAAATTGTTTCCAAGTCAAAATTTCAGCAGCGGTTGCATTTGTATTTATTGTATATAAACATCCTTCGCCAAAAACTGAAAACATGACATCATAAATTTTTGAAGCCATAGTTTCATGAACTGATCAATGCTGTTTTACAAGCTTTTAAAACAATAAAGTATTAAATAATTGAAGAACTAAAGTTATTAATATTTATAAGAATTACTGCTTGATGAATATGTTTTTTATAATATGTTTTTCAGCATTTTCTTGTAAGGC